TGGAGCTGGGGAACAGGACTGAGCCCGGCTGCCCTGCTCAGAGCCGTGTGGAACCGGGAGGGAGGAGAAAAGCCACGCTCCAATGTGCTCCCTGCAGAGCATCCCTCCCACATCGCCCGTGGCAATGCCCCTGCTCCCTTCTCCTGTGGGATTGCAGTTCAGGAGAGTGATCCTGTGGGTATTTATTGATCAAGTGAGTCAAGGAAACCCTCAGCCACTGTCCCGGGGTCCTTCAGCAGTGCAGGGGAAGGGATCAACAAACTCAGAGCACCCTGTCCATGGTGCCATCATTTCTGTGGGCAGTGTTTCCTTCCGGCTCTTCAAAGACCCTCTGGAGGGATTTCCTGAGGGATCCCACAGAGCAGGGCCTGCTGCACCTCCCCAGCAAGAAGTAGATGAAGGGTTTGATGCTGCTGTAGATGCAGGCGAGCAGAAAAAAAACGTGGGAGGACACAGTGATGTAACCAAGGTGCTCGAGGAAGTTCCAAAGGGTGAGGAGGAGAATGAAGAGCACAATGAGGCAGACGGCGATGTCGCACCTTTTCAGTTGCTGCTGCTGGGAGCAAAATTTGGCCTTCATGAATTTGATTGTGGTGGAAATGAGCATGGGTGCAGCAAGGAGGAGCAGAATGACAGTGAAAATGGAGATGAGAGCTGCCCGGCACTGCTGCTGCTCATGTGATGGGCACAGGAAAGACACTGTGGGAGTGACTGTGATGAGAATGAAGAAGGCCCAGCGTTCAATGCCCGACAGCACCTGGAACAGGCGCTTGGGGAGGCAGCAGTGGCACAGGACCTCACAGAGCTTGGCAATGGCTGTCGCAATGTCCAAGTCTGTCAGCCAGTACAGCATCCAATACTGGGAGACCACTGAGAGCTGGAAAAGGAAGCTCAGGTAACCCAGGGGCACAATTGGAAAGCAGGACAAATCCTCCACCAGGAGCAGCAGGGGAGAGGGCACCGTGAAGAGAAGGAAGAGGAAGTCAATGACAGCCAGGTGAAAGATATCACTGTCAGTGAGTTCCAGGTTGAGGAGGCAGAGCACAGCCCCGTTCCCAAACAGCCCACACAGGCAGATGAGCAGCATGACACTGTGTATGGCCACATTGGTGACATCTGTCTCACATGGATCCTCAGTGGGTGAGGTGGGAGGTGGGAACACGGTGCTCACCTCCATGGATGGATGCTGGGCAGGCAGTGGGATGTGGCTCCTGGCTGTGGTCAGAGTGGATGGGCAGTCAGTGCTTGGAGAATCCCAGGATGGACCATGCAGCTCCTCAGCAGCTCCCTGCAGTGGGAAGGATTCAGTGGAGAGAAGTGAGATGTGCAGGGGAGAAGGGAGTTGGAAATTGTGGGGTGGGAAGTTGGGGATATTCAATAGGAGACTGATAATGAACAGAGAAAATAAAGAATATTCAGTTCCCCTGAAGCTGCTGAAAGACCAGGTGAGCAAAAAGATAAAAGGATATGAGAGCAGTCACACAAGATAATAAATGTGGCTGGAACCGGTGAAGAAACAGCCAAGGAGGCCTGCAGTGGTTTTGGGGCAAGTTCTGTAACAAGAAGCAATAGCACATGGCCAAAGGAAAAATACAAGGCAAGGTCACCTTTAATATCACAGCACTCAGTGAATGTGACCACCAGAGACCCCTCTCAATGAACCCCCAGGACCATGAAAGGACTCCCAGTAGGAGATTGATGCATGGAAATTAGATCTGGGCAAGTGGTGTTTATGTATCAGATAAGAAACACATTTTAATGACTGTGATTGTTATAATGGCTAAAATCTGTTGTAAAGTCTCAGCACACAGAGAACAAGAAGAGATCCATCTGTGTGTCCTACGGGGGTGTCGTGGTTTGAGCCCTGGTGAAGCCAAAGCAGCCAGGACAGTTCCCCCCATCCCTGAGGAGGCAGAGGAGAAGAGCAAAAGCCTAATTAACAAGCAAAATTTATGGCATGGAGATAAGAGAAGGTATTTTTTGAAAGAGATTTTTTTCCACACTCCAGACATGGTCAAACAGGCTGAAAAACTTAAGTT